CATGTAAAGATGTTCAATATCACTAATCATTACAGAAATGTAAGTCAAAACCACAATGAGATGCCACCTCACACCTATAAAGATTGCTACTATTCAAAAAACAAAGTAATAAGTGTTAACAAGGATGTAGAGAAATCAGAACTTTTGTGCGCTGCTGGTAGGAATGTAAAATGGTGCAGCTGCTGTGGAAAACAATGTGGTGAGACTTCAAATAATTAAAAATAGAATTACTATATGATCTAGCAAATGCTATCTGTTAGTGTATACCCAAAAGAATTGAAAGCAGTGACTCCAACAGCTAATTGTACCCTATTCGTAGGAGCATTATTCACAACAGCCAAAAGGTGGAAGCCACTCAAGTGTCTACTGACGAATGAATAAACAAAACACGGTACATGCATACAATGGAATATATTCACAGCATAAAAAGGGAAATCTGGCTGGGTGTGGTAGCTCACACCCGTGATCTCAGCACTTTGGGAGGCCACAGTTGGAGAATCACGCTCAAGAGTTCGCAACCAACCTGGGCAACATGGCACCCTGTCTCTACAAAAAATACAAAAATTATTCGGGAATGGTAGTGAGTGTGTGCCTGTAGTTTCAGCTACTTGGGAGGCTGAGGTAGGAGAATCATCTGAGCACACGGAGGTCAAGGCTGCAGTGAGCCATGATCACACCACTGCACTCCAGCCTGGGTAGCAAGGGAGACCCTGTCTCTAAGGGGAAAAAAAAGAAAATTTGACACATGCTATAACATGGATAAACCTCAAAGACGTTATGTGAAGTGAAATACGCCAGTCATCAAAGGATAAATACTGTATGATTCCACTTACATGAGGTCCTAAAGTAGTCAGATTTATGGAGATGGAAAGTAGAATGTTGGATGCCAGGGGGTGGAGGGAGAGGGCAATGGGGAATTACTGTTTCATATGAAGAGTTTCTATTTTCAAGATGAGTTCTGGAGATGGATGACAGTGGTGGCTGCACAATAGAAATACTTAATGCCAGTCAACTGTACACTTTAAAATGGTTAAAATGGTAAACGTTATGTTTATGTGTATTTTACAATTTAAAAAACCCTACTTTTTAAAAATAATGCATTGAAACCACCAGCTTTACATTCCTTAGAGCAGTGGTTAACACAGCCACGACTTACGCAGCATTTGCAGTCACCGTTAACCATCAAGACTGCTGTATCTTTGCTCTAGTGTCATGCAATACTCCAACACACCATCTTGAATGGCCCAGACCATCTTCACTGTTAGGAAGGACAGGTCTCATTTCCCTGACAAGCAATCTTCCCATCCCTGTCTTCTGCTGTTTTATTTTTCCTTCTCTCCCCAGTGCATCTTCCTTGGAAAGGAAAAATTCATTTAAAAAAAAAAAAAAAAGACCACATACAGTGGCTCATGTCTGTAATCCCAGCACTTTGGGAGGCTGACGCAGGAGGATCCCTTGAATCCAGGTGTTTGAGACCAGCCTGGGCAACATAGGGAGACCTCATCTCTACCAAAAATAAAAAAGATAACTGGGTATGGTAGTACATGCTGTAGTCCCAGCTACTGGGGAGGCTGAGATGGGAGGAGCACTTGAGCCCAGGAAATTGAGGCTGTAGTGAGCAATGATTGTGCTGCTGCACTCCAGCCTGGGCGACAGGGCAAGACCTGTCTCAAAAACAGCAACAACAACAACAAAAAACCATTAAGAGAAAAATATAAGTTAATTTGGAATTTTATCACATGAATATCTAAAGTAATTGGCCTGAAATACAGCTAATATGTAGACTAGATCATTCCCTGATGGCCCTAGGATAGCAGAAACACTCATGATCAGAGTACATAATCATAAGTGTATACTACTTTAAGAAAAAAGATCCCATGGTACCTTTACTTATCTTCTGAAGACTAAATAAAATAGTCTTATGACTTTTTTGACTGAAATATTAAGATAACTATAAATAGATTAAAATAATTAAGGTACACACACAGGTATAAGAAATAGTAGAGATTCCTTATACATTTTGTCTAGTTTCCCCCAATGGTAACATTTTACAGAACTCAAGTATAATCTCACAACCAGGATATTGATACTGATACAACCCACAGATTCCAATTTACTATCTTACCAATACCCATTTGTGTGTTTTTATGTGTATTAAGATCTATTATTATTATTTTATTTCCCATTTACATGTGTGTATCTACCCCTGCAAACAAGTTGTTAAATAGTTCCCAAACCACAAGGATCCCTCTTCTTGCCCTTTTATAACTATATACACCTCTTCCTATCTCTCAACCCCTGGCAACCACTAAATCTGTTCTCAGTTTCTTAATTCTGTAACTTCAAAAATGTTATGTAAATGGAATCATACAGTAATGTATTGGGATTGTCTTTTTTGCTCAGACTATTTCCCTGAAGAGTCATCCAAGTTCATCCAAGTTTCAAAACTTTGTTCCTTGTTATTGCTGAGTGGTATTCCATGGCATGGATGTACCAGCGTTTGTTTAACCATTCATCTACTGAAGGACATCTGGGCTGATTCCAGCATTTGGCATTAGAAATGAGGCTGTTATGAACATTCATGTACAGGTTTGTCAACTATTCCTAAGACTTTTAAATTTCATTTCAGTAATTGTGATTTTGAAAACTTTGCAAGGAATATCTGATGATTACTCATTAAAACAGAAAAAAATATATTCCTTTTTTTTTTTTTTTTACTACCTTGTACAACAAAGAATACAGTACTGGTTTTTAAGTATGGAGAAAGGTTTAATATTTAAATAATATAGCCTTAATAAAATAAATATACTCACCAATAAAAGCACTATCAGATTCCAATAATGAGTTTTTCAAGAAATCACTAGTGTCATCTCTGGGCTAAAAGAAACATGTTTCAATGACTATTTTTATTAGTTTTGTGTGGAAAAACAACAAATTTGTACTAAGAAGAGGCACAAGTTTCCACATTGTTCTCCCTAAAAGCAGAAGAGGATGGGGAGAGGTAGGACTGACTACATTCCAATGCTCAGACAATACTGGAAAAACTTAACACACACAATTCCTATGAAGACGGTGATAGCAACACAGGACAGTATCTCTCCAGGCTACAGATTCTACAAGCTCACACATTTACTCCCTAACTCCACTCCTTCCTGCCCCTTTATGGTTGAAGTCAAATAAAAGGATCATATTATGACTGATGGAAAATATAATAGAGTATGAAGCAAAGACCCCAATTAAACATTAAGTTTTTAAGCCACTGCCAAGATTCATTCATTTGAATTTCCATAAACCTGTATAGCCCACTTACTATTTCTTTCATGCTAGGAACTGGGGATACAAAGATGAATTAAGAGTTTCTGCTCTGGAGTAGATCACAGTGTCATGGGAGAGAGGGGGGTATACTCTCAGATTATGACAGCCCTATGTGACAGCAATTGTCACAATGATGCAGCACAGATACAGTGGAGCACATATTATAGTAAGGAAAAAAATGCTAAGATTGGGCTTATTATAATGAGCTCCCAAATGAGAGAAAACTTAAATTTACATATAGAGAATTTTGCAGTACAGAATAATAATCACCAACATGTCAGAAGGAACCTAAAGTCATCCAACTCCACCTACCTGCACCTTCTTAGCAGATTTCTGGGCTTTATTAAGACACTCCAGCAAAGAGCTGTCCATTAATTTTTAAGGCCATGAATTACATTGATGCACTGCATTCATTATCAGAAAGTGAGCTTGTCTCTTGCCTAAATTACTGCAATAGCCTCCTGCCCCACTCAGTCTAAATGCACAGCGGATCAAGTAAAAACCTCAAGCAGATCATGTCACTCCTCCACTTAAAGACCTTGGCAGCTTCTCATCACATGCACAAGTGTCAAAGGCAAAGCCCCAGAATGGCCCCCAAGGCCCTGCTGCCTCACCTTGTCACCCCCTGCCCCATGTGTCCAACTGACCCTTGCTCATGGCTCTCCTACTGCTCCTTACATGCACTAGGCCAGCTCCCACAGGGGCCTCTTCCTGGAATGTTCTTCCTCCAGAAGTTCCCCCACATTTTTCATGGACACCTCCCTGGTGTCCTTACTCAAATGTTACCTACCCAGTGAGCCCCCATGCCCACTGTACTTCCAACTATAAACCCTCCCACCCAGGATGCTCCAGCTGCCTTCTCTGCTGTTGTCTTCTCCACAGCACCATGATTCAACAAACTATTGATTTATTTGATTACTGTCTCTCCCTCCTTCTGCAATGTAAGCTGTCAGAGGGCAGGGATTTTTGTCCCTTTTGTTTACTCCTATACCCCGGCACCTAGAACAGTTTCTGGTCCATAGGAAATAATAAATATTTGTTGATTGAAAAGAGCTCATCCTGTCCCTTTATTCAGTCTTGCACAAAAAGTGCCCCCCTTAGGATATAGGTGGGTGTTATGATTCTCTCCTTTGCTTATTTTCTTTGTAGACCTCAACACTATTTCCATAACAGACTCCCACTCCCACTACTGCTCATGCTAATGACAGCAAACACTCACACTGCACTCATCATGGGCCAGGCCTGCTGTAAGGGCTTTTAATATATTATCTCAGTTCTAACAACAGCACTTGAGCTATTTTTATTTATTTAATAAACACTTATAAAAACTTATATGCCAGGCCTGTCTCTAAGTACGTTGCAAATATTAATTTAAGTACTATTATCCTCATTTTACAGATTAGGAAGCTGAGGCATAAAGAGATTAAATAACTTGCCCTAAGTCACGCAGCTAAAAATAGACTAACTGGAACAGCCTAGTGCTAGAATCTTGTTCTTAGCCATTATAATATGTTTTCTCTATGTATTATACTAACACTTCTCAAGCTATCCACTTTACTGGTAAGACTTACATTCTTAATTCAGTATTCCTGAATAATTCAAAATTTGAATTACTTAATCATCATATGCTTATAGATTTTTAATCCCCCAAAAACTAACTTGAAAAATTATAACTGGTTGCTTACCATTCTTTGCTCTCGTACTTTAGCACTTGGGATGGCATCTAAGTCAACTGTAAGTCAATGAAGAACAAAAGCAAATTAAAAGGTCAGAAATTGCTTACTATATAAAATTAAATTTTAGAATATCTTTTTGACTAGCTCTCTACTGGAAATTACTTTTCAACGATCACACTTCAGAATATTTTGAAGATATCACTTATTAATAAACATAGCCCTGCATCCATTCTAGCTGCATAAAATTCTCCCATTCACATGAATGAACATAACAAGTAAAATCACTGCAAACGTAAAACTAATGCCAACAGAAAAAGAAAATGATCAATGCAGGATCCTTCACCATCTTGTCAGATTTCTACAGTCTGTAGAAAGTTGTTGCATGGAGTTAAATAGGGGCTCCCTCACATGGAACTGAAATAAGCTCCATTCCAGGCACTTAGTTCCCGAAGCAAAGATCTTGGATCAGGTATCCCAAAGCCTCTCCAATATGACCAGTCTTCCTATGTGTTCCTGTGAATAGCACATTTTGCCCTTTTTAGATACTGCCTTTGAGAATAAACAAGTTGCCAATGATAGCCTGTATTCCTTTTCCTATATTTTAATAGACATATTTGTGATTGTTTACAGTGAGGCCATATTCTTTTTTTTTTTTTTTTTTGAGACGAAGTCTCACTCTGTTGCCCAAGCTGGAGTGCAGCGGCACGATCTCAGCTCTCTGCAACCTCCACCTCCCGGGTTCAAGCAATTCTCCTGACTCAGGCTCCAGAGTAGCTAGGACTACAGGCACACGCCACCATGCCCAGCTAATTTTTGTATTTTTAGTAGAGACGGGGGTTTCACTATGTTGGCCAGACTAGTCTTGAACTCCTGACCTCATGATCTGCCCACTTCGGCCTCCCAAAGTGCTGGGATTACGGGCGTGAGCCACCACACCCAGCCTATTCTTATGAATTAGGTCATCATAGTGTCTACTGGCAGTTGGGGGGTGGCTACTGTGGGAGATAGATACCTTCAGTGCCAAAATGTACCTGTATCCACCTGGGGACTACTTTTGGGCTAATCAGTCTAAGATGCCAAAATCCCACAAGATCAGACCTTCATTTTGAGACTAAAGAAAAATGCCACCAGACTGGGTACAAAGGTTAAAGAATGTACTTGCTTCTCTCCTCTCTCCAGGTGATACACCTACTGCTTATCCTAGAATTAGGCTTATTCTGTCACAGGGCTATGAGGCTGTTATTAAAAATTCTGTACCAGATGAAGGGGAGACGATCCCTATGCATATGTTCAAATTTTGAAGTCTTGACCTATGATCTGGGCCTAAAGTGCTGCATCACTTACTCCTGTGATGCTCTCTCATGAAGTCAGAAAAGCTTCCTCAGATTCTGCGAGTCAGACCAGCCTCCCAAGATAGGGTCTTAAATTTTCTTAAAAATAACTGGCAGGAGCATCCCTTCCATTCTTGTTATCTGATTGTTGTGTTTTCATTACTCATTTTCCATGGTTAACCTCGATGGCCTGAAAGCTGGTGAAATACAGATGGGAAGGCCATGCAGTACACCTGGCTATCATCAGGCCCCATCAGTGCTCTCTGAGACAACTAGCCCCACTCTGCTTCTAGGTACCCACCCACCCCAACCCAACGACATCCTGGATTTCTTCTGTGCAATATTCATCACAGTTATACTTCTTTAGCATCTAACTTCTCCAACAAAATATAACCTCCTCAAGAGCAGCAGCATATGTCATTCATCACCATATCCCTGGACACAGGCCAGTACCTGTGCTCCTAGTAACCACTAAGTATCTTTCAATTGGTTGATTATACGAAAACATATTCATAGTCCAGTCTGATGCTTTGCACATTTTATGCCACATCAAAACTTAAACACACTCACACCACAGTAGACAAATGCCTGACATGGCACAGTAGACAAATGCCTGACACATCATGACAGGGCACTGATATGTTTGCCTGGCACTCCTTCCTTTGGTTTCTAGTTCCTAATACAGATGTCACCTGGCCTGGTCAAAGTATTCAGTCCTCCTGGCTACAGTGAATGGCTGGGCCCCTGTCATGCATGAATACACCACCCTGGTGGAGCCACACAGAGCCCTTTCTCATACTTCTTTTCTGGTACTACAGACCAAATGGACCCTGTGAGCATGGGGCTGCCAGTGAAGGGAGGATGCCTGGGACTGAAATCAACAGAAGAGATGCAGAAAGCCTACCAAAAAACAGCGTGCTAATACTATTTGACACAGCAATGATTATTTCTTACCTTTGGCACCTTCTTGCATTTTTATTCTGTTCAGCCTCTTCTGCTGCTCTCTTAGCAGGGCTTGCTGCTGAATCTCTAAGGTGTGATGATCTCTTGGAGGATCCGGGTACATAAATTTCAGATCAACTCGTGTTTCTGAATCTGGTATAAAAAATATGTTATATAACTAAGTTAAATGTTGTTTTCAAATGAGATTTTATAAAACTTCACTATAAGTAACATGAGTAACCTCATTTCAAAATCAAGGAAATGATATAAATAGTGAAACATCACTAAAGTCAAAGGACAGTAAATAGCCACAAAACTAAAGAACATGAAATTAATATTCTTTAATAAGTGCCTTTTCACAAACTTACCAACATAAGGAATACCCCAGAACAAGCAGTGGATGCCGCATTCTCCATCTCTACCTGTCCTAGCCCCGCCAGGATGCCACCCAGAACACAAACTATGTGCCGGTATATCCAAGCAGATGGTCACATGGCTATGACTAAGGCAGCCATGAGACACTGTAACCACGGCTGATCTCTAAAATATACTGGAAACGTGAAAAAATAATGTTACTGGCCAATTAATAGTTTAGTCCTTACAAGTATCATGCAGAAAGCAAGATAAACGTAGACTGGCTGGAACTTGATGAGGAATGCCATTTCTGTTTTTTGTTTGTTTGTTTTTGTTTTTGTTTTTTTTTTTGAGATGGAGTCTTGCTCTGTCACCCAGGCTGGAGTGCAGTGGCACGGTCTTGTTCACTGCCAGCTCCACCTCCCGGGCTCACACCATTCTCCTGCCTCAGCCTCCTGAGTAGCTGGGACTATAGGTGCCCGCCACCACGCCTGGCTAATTTTTTGCATTTTTAGTAGAGACGGGGTTTCACTGTGTTAGCCAGGATGGTCTTGATCTCCTGACCTCGTGATCTGCCCGCCTTGGCCTCCCAAAGTGCTGGGATTACAGGCGTGAGCCACCGCAGCTGGGGATTGCCATTTCTGAAGGAATTTACCTCTGTCACAATTCCATGAATATCCACTAACAAGAATAAATTTTGTTTTGTTTTGAGACAAAGTATTACTCTGTTACCCAGGCTGGAGTGCAGTAGCATGATCTCAGCTCACTGCAACCTCTACCTCCTGGGTTCAAGCAATTCTCCTGCCTCAGTCTCCCAGGTAGCTGGGACTACAGGTGCCCACCACTCACTATGCCCGGTTAATTTTTTTTTTTTGGTAGTTTTTAGTAGAGATGGGGTTTCACTATGTTGGCCAGGCTGGTCTTGAACTCCTGACCTTGTGATCCACCTGCCTCGGCCTCTGAAAGTGCTGGGGTTACAGGCACTAGCCACTGCGCCCAGCCAAGAATAAAAATTTTTAAATCGTGAGAAGAAACATACAGTTCATACATATAAAAAGCCTTGAAAATATTATTCCCTTTGACTCACTAATTACACTGCTGGAATATAAATAAATAAGCCTAAATATATACACAGTTTTATGGTCCTAAATATGTATAAAGCTTTATGATCAGAAATTATCAAAAGAACAAAATAGTGAAAATGGCTAATAGCCATTTTCAGAAGTTAACAGAAGTCTCTGGACACATAAACTTGGACTGGTCCCTGGCTTCACTGCTTCCAGACTCATTAAAAAACAATACCAACCACCAGGTCATTGGTGAATGAGGGCAAGATGTAGTAACACAGGGAAATGAATGGCTCAATTCTATGGCTTAAACCCTTTTGGTCTCAAGATCTTTTTTTTACACTCTTAAAAACTGAGGACCCCAAAGAGCTTTATTTATGTATGTGACACACACATACACACATACACACACACACACACACACACACGCGCCATATTAGAAGTTAAAACTAAGAGATTCTTAAAACACGAGAATATACAAGGACACATTCTGCTAGCTTCAAAGAGATGAAATCATCACATGTCATGTAGTCTCTGGCCAATCTGTATACACATGAGAGAATAAGAATGAAAAATACAAATAATGTCTTAGTTTATAATACAAACAGTTTTGATTTCAGATCAAACTTCTCACGAGACCCACTGGATTAACACAATGCCTGGCAGATAGTAAGTAATCAATATATGATAGCATAAAAAATAACTATGGTATATGTAATTGATAATACATGTAAATCTAGGTGAAAAACAATAGAGAAAATTAAATAAATAACAATTTATCTTTTTTTTCTTTTAATTACGCTAGAAATTCTAGAAAGACTAGAAAACATCCAAAATGATAATGGTACTTACATATAGGTAGTTTGACTAAGGTGATTTTTCCTTCTTACTATCTTTCTGTATTTTGAGAATTTGCTACAATAAACAGGTATTACTTTCAAAAGGATAAAAAGCTTAAATTCCAGTTTTCTGGCCTAGGTCATATGACCACACATCCCATAATCTGCCCCTTCTGCTCCAACACCTGCTCTGCTGAATATGCCTAAAGGAAAATTACACAACACACATTTTGGTTCCTCCACACATTCTCAGTCTCCCAGGCCTCATGTACCTTGGAAATCCCATTTCCCTACTAAACTTTCTCTTCTATTCGTTCTAAGTGGCTACATCAAAGCTTCTCTTAACTCTTCCCTCAAATCCCCTAGATTTCTTCCTGCCTACCCAGGTGCCCTGCTCACTTCAACAATCACTCTCCCTCTCCTAGAGCCTGAACCTCTTTCTCCTGCATAGCTCCTCACATTCACATTCTAAGGACTCTTCCAGCTCCTGATACCTCCCTCTCCTTCCCCTTCCCTTTCCCAGCCAAGGGTCTTCTAAAAGTCTTATGCCTATTGTTTCCAATATCTTGTTTCCTAGTCAATCCTCATTCCAAAGTTAATCGGCGATCATTCCACTTAAAAAGCTCTAGCTGAGGTCACCAATGACCTCATCCAACTGACATTTTCCAGTATTCATCTTACACGATCCTGTCTCCTTGATACTCTTTCCGCTCAGGTTTCAGGATCCTACATTCTCCTGCTTCTCCTCCAGTCTCTCTGGCTTCTCCTCAGTATTTTTCATGAGCTCATCTTTGTCTGTCTATCCTCCATTAAATGCCAAGTTCCATTCTTTATACTAGTCTATGCCATCTCATCCATCCCAGACTTTAACACTATATGCTCTCCAAAAGACAGCAGTTAGTCACACTAAAGCTTCATCTACCAGACTGGTTAACTGAAAACCTAGAGAATACAGAAGTTTCATTTCATTTTAACTCAAAATATATATCATAGATAAAATTCTACTTTAGAAAAAGGGTACAAAAATCTTTATAGATATTTAAATATGGGTAGAACACTTCTGCTACATCTTTAAAAGAGCAGCAATCTACTCACCTCTATCTTTCAGCTCATTAAAATCATGAATATTCTGAAAAGTGGCAGCGTCTAAGCCCTTAGGTGACTGTCTTCTGACAGGAGCTTGCAACCGATGTCTAGCCATATCAAATATATCCATGGGATTCCTTTCCCTTTTCCTACAGACAAATGACAAATCATAATATGTGCTTTATAGGAAAAATAGGTGAGTTCACATCTAATTCACTGTAAAAGAAATTTGGTCTCTTTCACCACATCATATTATTAAAGAATTATTCTAGGCCAGGTGCTGTGGCTCACACTTGCAATCCCAGCACTTTGGGAGGCAGAGAAGAGGACTCCTTGAAATCAGGAGTTCAATACCAGCCTGGCCCACAAAGCAAGATCCCCTCACTACAAAAAAAAAAAAAATGAGGTCAGACGTGGTGTCTCATGCCTGCAATCCAGCACTTTGGGAGGCCAAGACAGGTGGATCACCTGAGGTCAGGAGTTCAAGACCAGACTGGCCAATGTGGAGAAACCCCGTGTCTACTAAAAATACAAAAATTAGCTGGATGTGATAGCGCACGCCTGTAGTCCCAGCTACTCGGGAGGCTGAGGCAGCAGACTCACTTGAACCCAGGAGGTGGAGACTGCAGTGACCTGAGATCACACCACTGCACTCTGGCCTGGGCGACAGAGCAAGATTCCGTCTCAAAAAAAAAAAAGGTTGGCCAGGCATGGGGGCTCACACCTGTGATCCCAGCACTTTGGGAGGCCAAGGCAGGCAAATCACCTGAGGTCAGCAGTTTGAGACCAGCCTGGCCAAAATGATGAAACCCTGTCTCTACTAAAAATACAAAAATTAATTGGGCATGATAGTGTGTGCCTGTACTACCACCTACTCAGGAGGCTGATGCATGAGAACTGCTTGAACCAGGGAGGAGGCAGCTGCGGTGAGCCGAGATCACGCCACTGCACTCCAGCTTGGGTAACAGAGCGAGATTCTATCTCAAAAAAAAAAAAAAAAAAAAAAAGTCAAGCATGATGGTGTGTGCCTGTAGTCCTGGCTACTGCTGAGACGAGAGGATTGATTGAGCCCAGGAGGCCAAGGCTGCAATAAGCTGTGATCATGCCACTGCACTCCAGCCTGGACAACAGAGGGAGACCCTGTCTCTTTTTTTTTTTTTTTTTGAGACTGAGTCTTGCTCTGTTGCCAGGCTGGAGTGCAGTGGCGAGATCTTGGCTCACTGCAACTTTGCCTCCCAGGTTCAAGCAATTCTCCTTCCTCAGCCTCCTGAATAGCTGGGACTACAGGAGCTGGACCACTAGGCCCAGCAAATTTTTTTGTATTTTTAGTAGAGATGGGATTTCACCATGTTGGCCAAGATGGTCTCTATCTCTTGACCTCGTGATCTCGGCCTCCCAAATTGCTGGGATTACAGGCATGTGTGAGCCACCGCACCTGGCCCTCCATCTCTTAAAAAAAAAATTGGCCGAGCATGGTGGCTCACGCCTATAATCCCAGCACTTTGGGAGGCCGAGGTGGGTGGATCACGAGGTCAGGAGATCAACACCACCCTGGCTAACACAGTGAAACCCTGTCTCTACTAAAAAATACAAAAAATTAGCGGGGCGTGGTGGCACACGCCTGTAGTCCCAGCTACTCAGGAGGCTGAGGCAGGAGAATGGCGTGAACCCAGGAGGTGGAGCTTGCAGTGAGCCAAGATCGTGCCAGTGCACTCCAGCCTGGGCGACACAGCAAGACTCTGTCTAAAAAAAATAAAAATTATTCGGATAGCTCTATTATTAGTTCGATTTACCTTAAAATATAGCATATTTATGACGCCGTTGAAATTTTTCAAAATCATCAGATGCCAAGATACCTTATTACAAGAATAGAATGATTCAGCTTTACTTTAAAATGTTCATGGAAAAAATAAAATGTTCATGGAGTATGAAGATCACAGTCTCTAAGGTCAGAGAAACTGAGATTCAGACCAGCTCTGTTATTTATTAGCAGTTTGACCTCAATTTCATCATCTGTAAAATGCAGATGCCTACCCCTTATAGTCTTATTGTGAACAACAGAATTAAGATAATTTTTTTTTTTTGAAAGAGTCTTGCTCTCTTGCCCAGGCTGGAGTGCAGTGGCACAATCTCAGCTCACTGCAACCTCCACTTCCCAGTTCAAGCAATTCTCCTGCCTCAGCCTCCCAAGTAGCTGGGTCTTATAGGCACGCATTACCACACTCGGCTTCAGTTTTTTTTTTGTTTTTTTTTTTTTGTATTTTTAGTAGAGACAGGATTTTGCCACGTTGGCCACACTGGTCTTGAACTCCTGACATCAGGTTATCCGCCGCCTCAGCCTCCCAAAGTGCTGGGATTACAGGGGTGAGCCACGATATCGGGTCAGAATTAAGATAAATTTTATACTGTTAAGTACCAAGTATAGTACCTGACATGCATTAGATAATCAATAAATTACCTTCCCCTCAACCTAAAACAGAAATCACACATAGAAATATGGTAATAGGCAGGGCCCTCTGGCTCACGCCTATAATCCCAGCACTTTGGGAAGCAGACGTATTGCTTGAGCTCAGGAGTTTGAGACCAGCCTGGGCAATATGGAAAAAAACCCCATCTCTACTAAAAAATACAAAAATTAGCCAGGTGTGGTAGCCTGCACCTGTAGTCCCACCTACTTGGGAGGCTGAGGCACTAGAATTGCTTGAATCAGGAGGCAGAGGTTGCTGGGAGCCAAGATCATGCCACTGCACTCCAGCCTGGGTGACAGAAAGAGACTCTGTCTCCAAAAAAAGAAAAAGAAATATGGTACTGCCCAGGCACAGTGGCTCACAGCTGTAATCCTAGCACTTTGGGAGGCCGAGGCAGGTGGATCACCTGAGGTCAGGAGGTTGAGACCAACCTGACCAACATGGTGAAACCATGTTTCTACTAAAAATACAAAAATTAGCCAGGCGTGGGGGTGGGTACTTGTAATCCTAGCCACTCAGGAGGCTGAGGCAGGAGAAACACCTGAACCCGGGAGGTTGTAGTGAGCCAAAGATCGTGCCATTGCACTCCAGCCTGGGTGACAGAGCGAGACTCCGTCTCAAAAAAATAAAAATAAAAATAGAAATATGGTACTAATATGTAGTTCAATATGGGTATTATTCAGAGGACCCAACATTAACTTTACAATGGACTTTACAAGGAACTTGATACCCTAACTAGTTAACTGATTCCTGGGGTACCTAGGAAATTAATAGATAGCAGGTAGTAAGGGAGTTTTCTGCCAGGGCTTGAGGGAATGATAAGAGAGGGATGGTGTTTCTAGTCCTGAAAAAAAAAAAAAAAATACTTAACTGCTGCTTCACTCAGCACTAGGTCTCCTCTATTTTTGAAAATGGAGTATGGTCATTATGAGGCTTAGTCAGACTCCTCCCATCATTTCTTTATCATTAAATCTTCCCTAAGCACCAAGACAAGATAGCTGGGATCCCTACAGACAATACCCCTGCTCTACTGGAGTTTCCTTTTTGCAGGGGAGCATTCACTGGGGCCATAAAGGACCCTGGTCAAGGCTGACAGAGACCTCTAATACCTAAGGTGAAAGGAACTCTATGGAGATTTATTACAATGCAAAATACTAAAAAGATGTCTAAGAGACCATTAAATTGGACTGCTGTCTAGTTTCCATTAATGCTAATAGTTAAATACACTGGTAAGTTAAGAAATAGGTTATTAAATCTTCACATGTGAGCTACATCACATTTGTTTTGAGCCTAGCACATGATAGGAGCTGGATAATTTGGCAAATTATTTAGTGAATACGAGATTCCTTTTGTACAAATATTCATGAAATTGCAATAAAGAACCAACTCTGAGATGTCTTTAATCAGAATATATATTAAAATTATTCCAAAGTAAATGTATTTAACCAATTCTTGCTAAATGATGATAAATGTAACATGTTTTATAACTTAAGTTAGAACTTAAGAGTCACAAAGACATATACTTATTTATTTCAAATGCATACATTTATTTATTCTTCACTAGACTCTCAAGGGGTAGAAATTATCATGTATAATTTTCAAGTGAGAAAATTGAGGGACTGCTTGAGTACTCTTTCTTAAATCATATTGGTTTACCAAAAGAATTTACTAATGAAAAATTAATAAAATGTCAAAAAAAAACATTAAACTGAATTAAATACGCATGTTTGGAAAATGGAAAGCTGCACAGTTAAGGCATTTATAACACTGTAAAAGTAAATATAGAAAAAAAAAACACTACCTCTCGATTGTTTAGAACTTATTGACCTACTATGGGAGAATTACCGAATCACTGAAAATTACCACCTTGGAATAACATTTCATTATCTAGCCAATCTATATCTTGAAATTTCCTCACCTTGTTTACCTTGTTTCAATATTCCTAGAGAATACAAACAAAAATCTAAACAAAGCGTAATTAGGCAAATTAACATGCTACGTTAAAATCCTACCACATACTGGATTAGAGTCAGAGACATCGGTATGAACTTTATATACAAATAGATATAGGAACAATTATAGATATGTTTATATTTATGACTTAGTATACATACATATATTATCCAGAGGGCCTAGAAGCAGTGACACCCAGCAATAAACAGACCCAGCTTATCTGGTTTCTAAACACATTCTCCAAAAGGAACCAGGGTTCATTGGAGAAATAGCTGATTCTAGGGATGGGGTAGGGGAAATACAAGATGATCCTGAGGCATCTGGAAAGAAGTCTTCAAAAAATGAAAGGATGGGGACATGTCAAAGAGACACAGGAGCCAACCTGAAAGAGCTCCAAATGGCCAAAGTTGGAACAATTTGTGAAATAAAATAATGTAGCACTTACTTATAACCCAAAGTGTAAGATAAATATACATGAGATGACAGTAATAAATAAATGACTGAATAAATAAATAAATGGAAGAAGAAGAGACAAGTCTTTCTTATGGAAGAATTCTAAAAACTATATGTGGGTAACCTCCTGCTCCAAGAGATGAAGCTTAATTCCACCTCTTTCTCACTCTTGCAGGTGTGCTAGATTTAGTGATTTGTGACCAAAGAATAGTTAACTTTCTAGTGGAGAATCCTGGCAAACACTACTTTAACCAAGGTTAACATTTCCAGAAGTATCATGTGGATATCATGTACCCCTGATACAATGTGATGTCAGAACAGTGCCTGTGCTCTTCTTTCCAGAAACTCTTAATCCCAGTCTAATAATCAGAAAACATCAGACAAATCCAGACTAGAGAAGGAGGCATTCTACAGGATACCTGGCCAGTGCCCATGTAGACTTTCACAAGAAAAATAAGAGAAGACTGGGAAACTGTCCCAGACCCGAGGAGACTGGGAGACATGACAACTAAATGCAACGTGGTACATCTTGTATGGGGCCCATGAACAGAAGAAGAACATTAGTAGAAAACTGGAGAAATCCACCAAAGAGTCTCAAATTTAGTTCATAGTAATGTTTTAATGTCAGCCTCTGAGTTGTGACAAACATACCATGGTAATACAAGACGTTAACAATAGGGAAAACCAGATGAAGGGTGTACAGAAACGCTATGTATTGTTTGCAACTTTTTCTTTTTTTTTTGTGAGACGGAGTCTCACTCTTGTCGCCTAGGCTGGAGTGCAGTGGTGTGATCTGGGCTCACTGCAACCTCCACCTCCTGGGTTCATGCCATTCTCCTGCCTCAGCCTCCTAAGTAGCTGGGACTACAGGCGCATGCCACCACACCCAGTTAATTTTTTGTATTTTTAGTAGAGACGGGGTTTCGCCATGTTAGCCAGGATGGTCTCGATCTCCTGACCTCGTGATCCGCCCGCCTTGGCCTCCCAAAGTGCTGGGATTACAGGTGTGAGCAACCGCACCCAGCCTGCAACTTTTTTATAGTCAAAATTATCCCAAAATAGAAAGTTTATTTTCAAAAAGAGAAAGAAAGAAATTGTGGTAGTTACCCACTATGTTGATTTTACAACCTACTAAAACAGTGCAAACTGAAGTTTGAAGAACACTGCTTTAAAAATTTATGACTCCTGGCAAAAATGATCAGAAATGTTTGGTAGCCTGTAAGTGATTTTGTTGAAAAAAAGTATTTCAGAAAGCTACGTTATTAATGGAAAATATAAAAAACAGTTCTAAAATGCAACTACTGTCTGTAATTATTCCAACCCAGAAATTTCTATTCCTACAACATGAATCCCCTTGAGAACTAAATTTCTACAACGGATTTTGTAAAAGACAAAGAAAAGGAAAGTAAGGAGATTCTAAGTAAGATGAATTAGTCCTGTTCCCAAACTGCAAAATTACTGCATAGGTGAAGTAAAAGAACTCAAGAGAAAACAAAAAGTGCAATTCTAAACTTGCCTGATAGGAATTTCATCATCACTGTCCATGTGTAGCAATCGCTCTTGTAGACGCCTCTCTTCACTACGAAGTTGTTTTCTCATTTCTGATAATTCCATAATTACATTTTTTTTCTCCTCTGCAAATTCCCATTGATAAGTAAAACATGACAGGAATAAGAACAAAAGACTAAACATTAAAACACAACCTGACTAATAATAAAGTGAAACTGCTCAGAGACAATTTTATGAAAGATATTTTAACATTTTATATATACACACATACACAGATCATAATTATGAATGTCATTAGGACCCATAAGTACATTTTTTATAATATAGGAATTTTAGAAGTGATATTCTTGTGGGAGGGCAACTATAAAGGAGAGGCACAAGGAAGTTCCTTTATGGTGATGGAACAGTTCTGTATCTTGATTGCAGTGGTATTCGCACAAATTGTGCATGATAAAAATGCACAGAAATACACATACATAAATGCATGTAAAAAATGGTAAAATCTGATGGTCTGTGGAGCACACCAATGTCCACTTCCTGGCTATGAGACTGTACTACCTAAGATGTCACCCCAGGGGAAAGTTGGAGAAAGGGTACACAGCACCTATCTCTCTATACTGTTTCTGCAGTTTTCTATGAGTTTATTATTATTTCAAAATGAAACGTTAAAAAGTGAAATATTCTAGGTAACAGGTTTAGTAGTTAACTCTACCTTCTGCACGGAGCTGATTTTTCCTGGCAGGTACCGGGGGTGACTGTGCCCTGGACATGGAACTTTCCTGTTTAACAATAATGACAAAGACATGCTCAGTATGTCTTCCCTACATAGAAGCTTGAAGGGAGTAATTTTTTGAAGGATTTATATGTAAAGGAAACCAAACTCCACACTATCCTACCTCCAAAACTTATATCCATCCTAGAGTATATCTACCATGTATATCTGTTCTTCCTTCTCATCACAATGGAAGTGTCCTTGCCTCTACCCAAAGAGAATCCATTCATCTGTACTCTGTACCTGATAATTGACTCCCATTCTCCTCCGATTATTTTTTTCCAACTTCCTCTCTCCAAGCACTTTCCTCTCAGCCTATGTGTAAAAGCCTCTCCCTTTCTTAAAAAAAAATTTTACCTCACCCTTCATTGCTCACTGTCTCCTGTCCATTCTGTCCTTCTTTTCACAGCTGAGCTTCCTTAAAGAACAGTAAATGCAGTACTTTTGGGTCTACTGCCTATTCTCATTCACTTCTCAACACACAGCTATGGCCTTTGCTTTCTCACACCCATCACTCCAACAATACTGCCCTCACCAAAGTCATGAAGTGACCCCCAAGTGACATATTCAGTGGGCATTCTACTTGGCCAGTCGCAACTGCCGCCACTGCCATCCTCTCTCACCCTCTCTCCGTTCCTTTCCCTGCTTCTCAAATGTTGGTAATTCCCCAGTATTCTATTCTCAGCCTCCTTTACTTCTCTTGTAGACACTCATCATAGACAATGGTACTAATTTAACAAGCACCAATATGTTGATGATGTCCAGAACTACAAATCGAGTCCAGAACTCATTCTGCTGCCACAATTCATATTTTCAACTGCCTACTCTATACAACCCTCACCAAAAACTTGAAAGTTATCATAGACTCCTACCCACCACACACTCAACAAATAGTACTACTATGTCTCTTAAATGTATCATAAAGCTGTCACACCTTCTCAGTTCTTGGTGTCACTGCCTTTGTTTGGGTCCTCAGTCTCACATCTTGACTTCTGCAAAAGTATCTTATCTCCATGTTTAGTCTTGCCCCACCTCCAAAACTTATCTCCACACCATTGCCTGAAAAAACATTATACAAAAGTGGCCATGTCATTCCCCTACTTAAATATTACAATGAATTCCCATGCATTATCTACCACAGACGTACTAAATCAGAATCTCAAAGGGTGGGATTCAGAAACATGTTCTTCTGACACATTTCTTTACCTATTCTGGTAATTAGCCTGTCTGGAATCTACGAGCCTATGGAACAAAATCAAAGTTCTTAGCACTCCATACAGCATGCCACACATGTTCTGACCTCCACCTCCTCTGCTGCCTTAATGCACAGGCATCATCAGGCCAGACCACACCATGGAAGATTCTCCACATGTGCCATGAGCTTACATTGCTCTCCACGACTTTCCAAAAACTGAAAATCCCTCACCCTCCTCTTCAAGGCAAATTCCTGCATATTCTTCAAGCATCAACTTGAGGATCAATCTTAGAACATTTTCCATGTTTTCCTTGTAGTTCAATCTAAAGTATAACAGACTTCATGAACATATCTACAACTAGCTAGCTTGAGGGGCTAAATTATCGTTTGTCAAAAGAAACTTTAGGGCACCAAGCACTATCAGTTACAATCGAAGCAGCAAGCAAATTACTGTAGATACCACCTGTATTTCAGATCTGAAAAAATTTAACCTATCCAAATATAACGAAAAAGAAAATTTCATTCAATCCCCCAATCCAAAATAACTGAGCTAGGATGAACAAATAAAAATGAAAGTACATACATGAATAAAGGAACGTATGATGCTGTCAACTGAAGGAGGTCTTCGGAGTTTGCTTGCAATTTTGTTCTGAAGGGCAGGAACTATAGGAGAAGGCTGTCTCAAGCGCTGAAAATTTTTAAAAATTTAAGAGCATAATTGCTTCGTCACACTCACACATATACACACACACACACACACACACCCCTTAGAGTTAAGAAAGTTATCTAAGAAGTTTAGATTGTTATTGCTTTTATTTAATAAAACGTTTTTTACAAAAGTCAGAAATTCAATTACGTAAGATCAAACATGTTGGTTATGATAAACATAAATGGATTTAGACATCTTTATTAAAACAGTATGATTGTCAGATTAGGATTTTTAAAAATCAACAAACTCAAGTAAAGCAACAAAAAAGAAAAAATATAACAAAACTAAATCATCTTTAATAATAAGTAGATACCATGACAATACAAAAAAATTAAATAACAAAATCCTTCTTCTGGAAAACAATACAAATCAATCTAAGATCTAGATCTAATCACTAACAGCATCATGGATGAGGGACTTTTCAAGATCACAATGGGGTTCTACATTTCAGTTTATAGTGTATTAAACCTTATAGTCCAAAAACTTCATTGTAAATACAACATAGACCTTCTAAAGCCCTGTAGAGGATGCAGCAAACAAGCCATAGTACATATAACAAAAGACCAAAAAGCTCTCAAAGTCAGAAATGCAATTAATGCAATCAAAGACATTAGTTTTGATAAACATAAATGGATTTAGATATCCCTATTTTAAAAGATGAGGCTGGGTGCAGTGGCTCATGTCTATAATCCCAACACTTCGGGAGGCCAAGCAGGCAAGTCACCTAAGGAGAGGAGTTCAAGACCAGCCTGGTCAACATGGTGAAACCCTGTCTCTAATAAAAATTAGCCAGGTGTGATAGTTTGAACCTGTAATTCCAGCTACTGGGGAGGCTGAGGCAGGAGATTCACTTGAACCTGGGAGGTGGAAGTTGCAGTGGGCCGAGACTGCACCACTGCACTCCAGCCTGGGTGACAGAGCGAGACTCTGTCTCTAAATAAATAAATAAATAAATAAATATTTTATATTTATTTATAACTATAAATAAATATAAACTTATAACTCAGATTAGGATTTTTAAAATTCAACAAACTAAATATAGAAGCTAACTAAATGAAAAATATGGTGACACAAAGGTAAAACTGAAGGAATAGACAAAAATATACATCAGACATACCTAAATAAAAAAACGATAGCAATATTAATTTCAGGAAGGCAAATGCACTAAATGGGATAAAGCTGATTTAAAACTTTATGGTACTTTACAATTAAATTGTAACATCATAAAAGTATATATTGCTAAAAAAACAACATTTTTAAAAAACATAAGAAATTGCAAGAAATATAATTATGGGAAACTAACAATTCTCTTTAATTCTTTTTTTTTTTTTTTGAGATGGAGTCTCGCTTTGTCACCCAGGCTGAAGTGCCGTGGTGCGATCACGGCTCACTGCAACCTCTGCCTCCCAAGTTCAACCGATTCTCCTGCCTCAGTCTCCTCAGTAGCTGGGACTACAGGTGCCCGCCACCACGCCCGGCTAATTTTTGTATTTGTTAGTAGAGATGGGGTTTCACCATGTTGCCCAGGCTGGTCTCGATCTTCTGGTCTCAAGTGATCCGCCCGCCTTGACTTCCCAGAGCGTTGGGATTACAGGTGTGAGCCACCACGCCCAGCCTCTTTCATTCTTAAATGATGAATTTTACAATAAAAAATTATCTGTGAGGCAGGGTGCGGTGGCTCACGCCTGCAATTCTACCACTTTGGGAGGCTGAGGCAGGAAGACAACTTGAGCCCAAAAATTTGAGATCGGCCTAGGCAACATAGCAAGACTTGGTCTCTTAAAAAAAAAGAAAGAAGGCCGGGCGTGGGGGCTCACTCCTGTAATCTCAGCACTTTGGGAGGCAGAGGTGGGCAGATCACCTGAGGTCAGGAGTCTGAGACCAATCTGACCAACATGGTGAAACCCCGTCTCTACTAAAAATACAAAAATTAGCTGGGCATGACGGTGTGTGCCTGTAGTCCTAGCTACTTGAGAGGCTGAGGCAGGAGAATTGCTTGAAAGAATATATATATACACATATATATAAAAAAACCACTCTCAACTTCTGTATTAGTCTTGTCATGAACTATAACAAACAGTTCATGTTGTAATGTCTGCATACCATATTCTTAGGTGGCACCACATACACCATGGGAACGAGATTAAGAATGGCTGAAGTAAGTAAATTCATTACTTTCAATGGACAGAAAATACCAACAAAGCACAGTGACAGTACCTCATATAGAAAGTTCAGTACATTGTGCCCAGATTACACACTAAGACAGAACAGGAACAAAGGCACCTCCTCCTCTTTTTCCCCTTTTCTAACGACTACACAACTCTCACAGTGAAAGTGGGTTAAACTGTGGGTTTGATTGACATTTTTGTCTGAAACTTACCTTTGTTTCTTCCCCAGTCAAATTATCTCTTTCATAGTAGTGCTGAAGTTGCAGGTTATATTTTTCTTCTTCTTCTTTCTTCTTTCTTTCTGCTTCTTTTTGTCTTTCTTCAGCTAACCGAATATGCTCTTCATTTTTTAGCCTTTGCTTTAAAATAGAAAAATATGCATTCCGTATATTCCTTCTACAGTACATTCAAAAATGTGCTGCCTTATTTTTCTGATAAAATGAGATAAAGATATAGATGACATGATACGGTGTTCTTTAACACAAGCTGTCTGCTTAAAAATAAAATATTAGGCATCTTTTATAAAGTCTTCAGTCAGCCTACATCTATTTTTTTAAAGTCATCACTTATCTCCTTTCTTAAATTACCCTTTCACCTTAATAAAATAATATCCAATGAATGGATAGTGATCTCATATTTTCTAAATGTACTCCAACACTGTTCTCCTTTATAAGTAACAAATACCTTTTCAAGTCAAAATAAAGATTTCACCTTCAGACTAAGTAGTAAAATACAATAGGGAAAAGAGATGTACCTCCTCCTCTTTCTCCCTTTTCTTTTCCTGTTCCTCTTCATACTCCTGCTGAATTCGTGCCCTCTGTTCTGCAAGCCGTCTTTCTTCTTTTTCTTCGGCAATTCTCAGTCTCTCTCGCTCTGCTTCCTCTCTTTGTTTCTTTTCCTCAATCTAAAAAATTAAACCTAGTTATTTCTCTTGTAAAACTATTAAAAAGTTAGAATATCACTTATTTTTTTTTCTGATAGCATACAAACTCAACATTTGTACCCTCTTTTTGCATGTTCCTAAATTTTTTAGTATCCTGTATTTTCAGGGAGGCTACATGATTTACTGTACTGTTAAAAGCTTTGAGTTAAATTCCAGTTCCACCAAACAGACTGTGTGACCTTAAGAAACTTGCTTGTCCTCAGTTTTCTCTTTTTTCTGGTAAACAGTTATTAATGCCTGCATCTCAAAGGAGTGCTAAAAGAATTAAAGTGAAACAATGTAAGGAACATAAAAGTTTCTCCTATATAGAAGGTTCTAAGCAACTAATTCATGATTATATTATTTTATAGTGATTGCTGCTATTATATGTCAAAATGCTTGGAATTGATTATTATTCTAAAATAACAGTGAAATTAGTATTTTAGTATTCAATCATTTTTTAATGCAAGAGCCGCTTCTCCCAAATGCCCTTTGTTCTTTCCTAACTATAGAGGTTAATGGAGAAAGAACTAAAACTATTAGGTGGAGGAGGATTTAGGTCACAAGGACTCATAATTAAGTTTCATCTTGAATGCTACCTGGAGTCTGCAGTGTTGAGTACTCTAGAGCCTAAGATTTGAAGGAAATCTAGAGCCTAAGATTTGAAGGAAAGAAGGCTCTAAGAGAGAGACAGTCCACACCCCCAGTGAATGAGGCAGGGAAGAATGGCAGCACTGGAACCAGGTATTCATGTCTCTGGTTTAAGGTTATCAACAGATTTTAGTTACCCTTAGGTATGGATCATACAACTCAGCATATTTTTGTTTTTCTTGTCTGTACTTCCTCTAGCTTCAAGGTTGCTCTATCTAGTGCTGCTAAGTGAGCTACAAGAACTTTAATCTGGCTGGGCACAGTGGCTCACCTGAGGTCAGGAGTTCGAAACCAGCCTGGCCAATATGGTGTAACCCTATCTCTACTAAAAATACAAAAATTAGCCAGGCGTGGTGATACGTCCCTGTAATCCCAGCTACTCAGGAGGCTGAGATGGGAGAATCACTTGAAACCAGGAGATGGAGGTTGCAGTGAGCTGAGATTGCGCCACTGTACTCCAGCATGGGCGACAGAGTGAGACTCTGCCAAAAAAAAAAGAACTTTAATCTTCTAACACATCCTATGATTTTATATACTAGGGCTTTTTCCAACACTTCTTTCCCACAACATGATTAAATATGCACAAGCCTAATATTTAGTACTTTTAGTTAGCAATTTGCATCCAATCACTTCTTCAAGTCCAACACGCCTAAAGAAAACATCATTTATAATTCATCAAAATTTCATATTCAATACTCAGTTCCCCCTTCTTCCTACCCCACGGGAAAAAAAAAAATCACATTGTCACAGGGGTCACTTCTCCATCAAAATCAAAGAATTCTAATTTTTAAGCTATTAATGGATCATACACCTAATGGAGCCAAAGTTCAGTGCCAACAGGAATGCTAGACAGTTGTTCAACAGCTTTCTGGTCTGGAAAGCAGGGAAAGCTATCTTCTTGTCATGGTTTTCCAATTACATAACACAAAATTGCTTCAGAGTTCTTAAAAATATTTTATTTGTTAATTATTTTTAAAGCTGTGATCAAAAATGTCAAACATTCACAGGTGTTATTAATATTCACCAAATGTTAACAGCATGAAGACTTCTGATGCATTAACTTGAGCTAACTGTAGAACTTACCTGTACAAACCTCAGGCTAAAGCTTTTCTTACATAACATCTTTGTGCACAGATTTGAACATTTCATAATATTTGTTTTAACAAAAGTTTTGTATACTTTTTATCTGACATTATATTTTTGATAGTAATAATAAATATCATTGATCTATTTTACATTTTCTTAGAATTACATGTTAGGTTTTGTCTGAGGTGGGAGAAGAGATTTTTAAGTGGCTGCTGAAAGAAAAATTTAAAAACCATCATCTGAAAGCAATCTATTCACAGATAAATTGAAGGTTGACAGGGTGGAAGAACTGAAGGTTGAAACTAAAATAGTTAAAGCTTCCCCCATTACCATAGCTTTTCTAAAGGTAAAGACTTCCTAGTGAATCCTATAAATAGAAGTGTGATATCCACAGATATTACACTTAAAGTCTAGAGACTTGGATTCAAGCAATGGCATCACAATTTGCTAGCTCTGACACCCTGGGCAAGCCTGTTAGTCTGTGTATTAGTTGTATGTTATTAAACAGAGATAATAAAACACCCCTCAGAGAAATCTGAGGTTTGATGAGATACTATATGTAAAAGGATCTTACGAACAATAAAAGGCTATACAATTGTAAGATTTTTTTGGCTGAATTCTACCTTAGACCATGGTAAGAACTGCTAAGCATTAGAGGAGGTAAATTTTGACCTGCTGTCATGGTCAATATACCACACAGTCCTTTACCTTCAACAGGGACTCCAAACTCTCAACTTGCTGCTACCTGACTTGAGTGCAAAATATTGGGACCTCTGATACCAGTCTCTCATATTCAACATCTATATTGTTTCTGTTGAACCTTAAAAAGGACTTTCCATCAATTTCCACTGTCACCCACGCTAGTAAAATGTCCCTGCTTCCAGTCTTTTTAATCCTGTTATTGTACCTTAAACAGTGATATCACATCAATCATCCTTTTTTCACTCTGTCGCCCAGGCAGGAGTAAAGTGGCATATCTTGGCTCACTGCAACCTCTGCCTCCTGGGCTCAAGCAATTCTCCCACCTCAGCCTCCCGAGTAGCTGGGGTGACAGGCACACACTACCATGCCTGGCTAATTTTTTGTAGAAATGGGGTTTCATCATGTTGCCCAGGCTAGTCTCAAATTCCTGTGCTCAAGAGATCTGCCCACCTTGGCCTCCCAAACTGCTGGCATTACAGGTGTGAGCCACCACACTCAGCCTAATATCAGTCATCCTTAAAGGCTATATCCATTAAGTAACTGCCTTATTTAAGAGTCAATAATAATTAGGATTAAAAAGAAGATATGTTTGAGGGCATCTGTTTAAGAGTTTGGGGTTAGATTACATAACCTTAAATGTTAGGTTCAAGAGTTGAGATAATTTCTGTAGGCAAAGGAAAGCTACCACCAGATTTTGAGTAAAGAATAGCAGGTGAAAAGTCGTATCAAAGGAGGATTACCCAGGCCATAAGATTAATCTGACACTGGTATCTAAGTGTGAGTGTGAAGGGGAGGGACTTAAGGAAATAAGAAACTGTGAGTCCCTCATGGGCAAATATCTCACATTCATCTCAGGCTCCACCCCTAGGACTCAGCCCAGGGTACACCCAGTATAGGAATAAGTCTGTTTGCTTCATAAACAACGGATGTTCAAGTGTCTTCCTTTGGGAATAGTCTGGGCATTTCTACTATGTTAAATGCTACTTACTTATATACATAAATGGGGCAAATAATTGTAAACTGTGATTATCTTAAATCTAATTTTTATTTATTTACAATCTGTAATAAGTCAAGAATATCAAATCATTTGGAAAAAATATATTGATTTTCTAATAACTTACAAATATCTAGAAAGATGCATTCTCTGCCTAATAGATGAATATTTTAGTAAGTCAGTTTTTGAAATCTCAGCCTTCTTAGATTTAAAATTAATGATTTAGGCTGGACGTGGTGGCTCATACCTGTAATCCCAGCACTTTGGGGTACCAAAGTGGGCAGATCATTTGAGGTCAGTAGTTCAAGACCAGTCTGGCCAAGATGGTGAAATCCTGTCTCTATTAAAAATACGAAAATTGGTTGGGTGCGGTGGCTTATGCCTATAATCCCAGCACTTTGAGAGGCCAAGGCGGGCAGATCATGAGGTCAGGAGATCAAGACCATCCTGGCTAACATGGTGAAACCCTGTCTCTACTAAAAATACAAAAAATTAGCCAGGTGTGGTGGCAGGCACCTGTAGTCCCATCTACTTGGGAGGCTGAGGCAGGAGAATCACTTAAAGCCAGGAGGCGGAGGTTGCAGTGAGCCAAGATCTCACCACTACACCCTAGCCTGGATAGACAGAACAAGACTCCATCTCAAAAAAATAAAACAAATTAATGATTTAATAAAATAAAGATTAAGTCAACTACTATACTTAATACATCTGCTTATTTCCTTGAAACAAGGAAATGAAATAATAACTTTTGTACTACTGGTATCTGATCTGACATAAATTAGATATTTTAGATAAAAGTATGGCATTTTAGAATTTAGTATTTATCCTGGAGAAAATCTTTGCAAGTTTTGTTTATTAAAATCTCATGAAACTTTGATCAAATAGCATTTCACCTGAAAACGAAGAAAATTCTTGTATAATTCTTGCTGTCTAATCTGAAGTTCAGTTGGAGGCTCACCAAATACATTTCCCCGAGCAAAAGGAGAGCTCTGTGTTTGCATATGACCTTGAAAGAAACATTTTGCAAAAACATACTATTAGCCAATGCTTAGAAAATGTAACAGTTAAAGAATGAACAGTTTGCTAATAAATTCATTTTTTTTTTAAAAAAAAGTCCAGAGATTAAAATCAGAAGAGGAAGGTTGAGATTAGAATCTGAAGATCAGGTGAACAGTAGTAAGAGAAAGAAAAATGGTAAAACCAAAATAAAATTAACAGTTAACAAAATCAAATAATACCTGAAAGATACAAAGTAAACATAAAAGCTAACAGCTTAAACAACCCTCATTGCAACAAAGGCTTTAAAATAGAATTTATGGAGAGAAAAAAAGTACATATTTATATTCTTCAGTATGTGAATATCCTTTACTTAAGAATATTGCTTAATAACATATAAAATTGTTTTTAAAAATCAGTAATTTCAAAATTCTTCCCAACAGTTTGAATGACAGAACAGAAAGTCAGCTTTAAAAAACATATTTAACAAATTAGAATGTGTCTTGTTGTAATAGTTTTTATTTTTAAAACTATCAAATTAATGAGATATAAACATGAACAAAAATTTTTTATTATATATTACCTATAAATAGTATCATATATTCTTGGAATGAAAAAAAATTATTTCATAAAAGCAATTCGAAAAACAATTATACCCTTAGAGTCTCTTTGAATGCAGACAGGAAAAAAAATGACATTTAAATTTAAGCCTCATATAACTTTTTATATTGAGTTTCTGACTCATTCTTTATACCATTAAACTAAAGCATGTATTTCTTTTTTCTTTATTTTTGAGACAGAGTCTTGCTCTGTCACCCAGGCAGGAGTGCAGTGGCATGATCTCCGCTCACTGCAACCTCTGCCTCCCGGGCTCAAGTGATTCTCCTGCTTCAGCCTCCCGAGTAGCTGGGACTACAGGCGTGTACCACCATGCCTGGCTAATTTTTTTTTTTGTATTTTTAGTAGAGACAGGATTTCGTCATGTTGGCCAGGCTGGTCTCTTAACTCCTGACCTCAGATGATCCGCCCACCTTGGCCTTCAACAGTGCTGGGATTACAGGCGTGAGCCACTGCGCCCAGCCTAAAGCATGTATTTCTCGCATTGTAGTTTTGTATAGGCAAACTGCTTTGCAGTTCAGCTACCACTCAGGTCTATTTTGCTTTTGTATTTAAATTTTTTAATGCTTATTTGAACAGACTGGCAGAAAGCCAAACCAATACTTAAACATTATGAATACTTTTTTCCACTAGAAAATTTTCCTACTGAAAACACCTTGAAGGCTATTTTAAATGTTATGCTGTGGTGGAAACAAACTTGAGTAGCATGTTTCACCATGATGCTCACTCCTGTTCTAAACCTTTGGGGCATTAGAGAAGAAATATTATTAGAGACAGACAAGAGAAGTCCTTTTAGAAATGAATAAACTATAAAAGGAAAACCACAGCGAAACACTTGCTATATACAAAGAAAGCAGAAATGTATCTTGGCATGATAATAAGCCAAAAAAATAAATTTAAGCCATATTCGTATTAGACTTCATAAGCCACAGCTCATCTAAAAACCATAAAGTAAAAGAAAAAATAATGAACATTATAAAGGGCATCAGAAACAAACCTAATGAAGATAAAATATTAGATGATAAGGAAACTTAAACACATGTTGTAACATTCAATTTTCAGCTATATTCAAGTTCCTTCAGGCTTTTAAAATATCAAATGCTACATATATGCAAAGATATGTCTGTGTGTACATACATACACACACACGCACTCATATACATATATATGGCATAGCACAAAATTAGGTAGATTTGAATCATTTCTTGCATTGAGAAAGTTTATTTTAGATTAATTAATTCTTTCTTTTGTTCTTTGAGATAGAGTCTCGCTCTGTCACCAGGCTGGAGTACGGTGGCATGATCTCAGCTCACTGCAACCTCCTATTCCCAGGTTCAAGCAATTCTCCTGCCTCAGCCTACGAAGTAGCTGGGATTACAGGCGCGTGCCACCATGCCCAGCTAATTTTTGTATTTTTAGTAGAGACGGGGTTTCACCACATAGGCCAGGATGGTCTCAATCTCTTGACCTCATGATCCACCCGCCTCGGGGCCTCCCAAAGTGATGGGATTACAGGCATGAGCCACTGCGCCCAGCCAATTAATTAATTCTTAGGGAAGGAAAGTCTAACTTAGGGAATTTCAATTCACAAAAAAGGGAAGTTTTAAACATTTTATGGTTTTTTAAATTCAATTCTTAAACAGAACATCCTAGTAACAATACCAGCATAAAAACCTGGCAGTGGTACAGAAAGGTTATAGGCAACAAATTTTGCTGTGCATGTTTAATCATCAGGCTTATGCTTTTGGGAAGGGGTCATGGAAACTATTGATTTTCTGGTGTTTTTGCTTGGTGTGCAAAGCTAGATGGCTAAAAAGTGTTATTACTAAGATAGAGAAAGTTCTAGGCTGAGCCAGAACTACAAACAATACCACGTATGGAAAAAAAGGGTAGAGAAAGACTCTTTATGGCACTGAGATCTCAATACAGACTACTAGAAGCAGCAGCAAATGAGAAAAATATCAGAAATAAGTCAAAATTCTCTCTTAGCAGCAATAATATGAAAAGGTGTTTTGATGTTCTTACCACACACTATTACAAATTAAAAGAGCCAAATCAATAATATTGTCAAAATCAAAGGTTCCAATTTTAGTGCTCTAAAAATCAAAACTGGATCCAATAAAATCTATTGTAGAACAAATAAAGCATTTTCTCATAATAAGAAAACACTGTACAAGTTTCCCATGAAAACAGTAAATAATCCATCTCTTATTAAAGTGTTCAAAAAGGCTACAGATACGTGTGCCACCATCAAAGCCTTGAAAGATGCAGGGGTATGACTCTAATCACAGCTCCCCATTTTGCTTATCTGTTTAGCCAAAAATAAGGGTCAACAACAAAAAAGACTGAATGATCAGTCACAAATATTTTAGAACTTCCTAATGAAAAGTTCTTTTCTAGTCTAAAATCAAAAGTTCTGTGAAAGCACAAAGTCAAATTTTGTAATGAATAAATGGCCAGTTTTATAGGCATCAAAATATAGTGTGAGGTGGTATATTAAACTTTATTTTTAAATATATAACACAATTTAACATATACTTGACAATTTTTCCTGGTATGTCATAAAAAAGATACTGAATAATTTTCATCTTACAGAATTTTTGATTAAAGGGTATTAATAGTAAATCAAAGATAAGTAGTTAAGAGGCATGTAACCAGGCGGTGGCTCCTGCCTGTAACCCCAACACTTTGGGAGGTGGAGGTGGATGGATCACAAGGTCAGGAGTTCAAGACTAGCCTGGTCAAGATGGTGAAACCTCACCTCTACTAAAAATACAAAAATTAGCCAGGGGTGGTGGCAGGCACCTGTAATCCCAGCTACGTGGGAGGCTGAGGTAGAGAACTGCTTGAACCCAGAGATGGAGGCTGCAGTGAGCTGAGATTATGCCACTGCACTCCAGCCTGGGTAACAAAGTGAGACCCTGTCTCAAAAAAAAAAAAAAAAAAAAAAAAAAACACACATTGCTTCATTTCTTTGTATATTGTTGTTTTACAAGGGAGGGTAAATAATTACTAAAACAAGCAAAAAATGAATTTCCCTGTACAATTTATCATATCACAATGACAGTTTTTCACTAATTCAAACAGCTATGGATATAAGATGCAAATAGTGTATGTGTGTAAAAAGAGTGTCTGATTTTAAGAAATGTCCCCCACTAGCAAAATAAAAATGTTAGCAGCAGCTAAAGGATACATAGCAAGTTACAAAGCTGAGAAGAAACACAGTAGTAAGAAGTAACCTTTCCCCATTCACCCTTTTTTCAAAGTAACTATGAAGAAAAGGTATTTTATGAATCGTGTGTTACACTTCCTGTATCAGAGCAGTCAAGTTCTCAAGATCCCAGTAAGAAGAACTTAGTCAAAGAACATAAATGTTACTGAACAATTTCAGAATTGTTAAAAAAAAAAAAAAAAAAAAAAGTGATTAAAAACCTGAGCTTTTATTTGCAGCATCTTCTAGGTTCTCAGCATTTGAAGTGGCTAAATTTGGGTCTAGAGATACAACAGCCCTTTTATCTTCATATGTTCTTGCATCTGGGTTATGGTAGGCATCTATATTTTGTCTGTGCATCCTATTCAAATCGGCTGAGAGGAAAAAATAAGCCATTTATTTAAATAAACACATTTCTATAATTAGCATGCAAAACATATTTTCTTAAAATAGGGAGTCAGAAAGAAAAACAATAGGACAAAGTTGGGAATAATTCAATGATATGTTGGTGCCCTGAAAAGAGAAACAAAATTATAAAAGCTTTTAAGATTTTCAAAAAATAACCCTTTAAAATAATCTCAATTGGTAGATAAATTAAGGATACATAAATCTTTAACAAAACATAAAAACCATATTACCAGTATCTATGTTACTTCAGAACTTAGAATTTCTTTAACATAGAAAAAATACAGCAACAATTTTAAAAACTCAGTGAAATTTACCTGTCATCGGTCTCCTAATAACATATAATCATGTGGAGTGGCGTTTTAAAATATATTCACAAATTACTTGGCAATCCTCCCTCAAACAGTAAAGCTAAATTCCATTCCCCTTCAGTGGTGTCCAGAGTTAATAACTCACTTCTTATGACTAGCATGTTGCAGAAACAACAGTATATGACTTCTGAGGCTACCTCATAAAAGAAATTATCTCCACCTTGCTTATCTATGGATCATTCACTCTGAAGAAAGCCAATTGTCATATCACAAGTACACTAAGGGAGCCCTATGGAAAGGCCCATATGACAAGGAACTAAGGCCTCCTGAGCCATGTGAGGGAGCCATATTGAAAATGAATCTTACAGTCCCCATCAAGCCTCAGATGACTACTGCCCTGGTCAATACCTTGGACTCCAACATTATGAGGAAGCCTGAGACAGAACCACCCAGCTAAACCACTCACAAATTTCTAACCCCCACAACCGCAAGATAATAAAGTTTATTGTGCTAAAACACCAAGTTTTGGGTTAATTCATTACGTAGAGCAGATATCTAATACACACAGCAAAAATCTGAGCACCTAGAATTGGGTCAAACAACCAATCTCAAAAACAGAACTGAATGATTACAGAACTCAAAGCTTTAATAAAATAAAAAGTAGCTGTTTTCCATAAAACAAACAAACCAAAACACTGGAACAGTATGGCAGCACTGAAAGTGAACTTAAACCTGGATATAAGAAGTATTTATCAGGAAGCCCGTTATGTTCAAGAACGTATTTTGAACATGAATCACAATTAGAATTCCAGACAGAACATGGCAAGCAATATGTAAATGTTACAAAAGAGAATGGGAGTTCAGAATCAGGAAGGTTCACCTTGTTACAATATTTAGGGCAGCTTGGACTTGGAAAATGTATAGGAGCTTCACAGATGAAGATAAGTAGGGAAGCATAATAGAGAAGTACAACAATGTGAGAAAGCACTCCAAGCAGGTAAAACATGAAGACTGTTCTGGCAACATTAAAGCAGTCCAGCTAGACTAGAGCATAAAGCACATATAATAGAGCAATGGCAAGCAAGACTGGAAACCGCAGAATGGATACATATTCTGGAATATCCTAAAACACATGCCAATGGCTCTCAATTTTGTTCTGTAGAAGGTAATGGAGGCAGTTTTGGTTGTTACAGAAGTGAGATTAATATATTAGTCTGGCCGGGTGTGGTGGCTCATGCCTATAATCCCAGCACTTTGGGAGGCCAAGGAGGGTGGATCACTTGAGCTCAGGAGTTCAAGACCAGCCTGGGCAACATGGTGAAATTCCATTTCTACTGAAAATACAAAAATTAGCTGGGCATGATGGCATGCAACTGTAGTCCCAGCTACTTGGGGGACTGAGGTGGGAGGATCACTTAAGCCCGGGAGGTGCAGGTTGCAATGAGTCAAAATTACACCACTGCACTCCAGGCTGGATGACACAGTGAGACTCTGTCTCAAAAAAATAAAAATAAAAATGGTTGAGGACAAAGAAAAAGATTTAAAGATCAATCTGTAGGGAAGACGTAAAGAGTAACACAGGAGTAAAAGAGATGACATGGAAGAGAATGGATGAAGGTATGAGAAACACACAAGGTCAGATGACAGTCCTTAGAAGAAAGATAATGCTCACAAACCTAGCAGAGTCTAACTCTAGCTCATAACGCACATCCAATAAATACCAGCTGAAGTTTCGACAGCATCTCAGAGGATACAAAAGACTTGGGGAAAAAAAGGAACTGTCAGGCCAGTGCAAAGAAGATAAAAGCTGAGTAAAATCCATTAAATTGAAATTAGGACATTAGGCTTTTTGTTGACAATGTGACATGGGGGAGTGGTGGGCAGGGGGTACAAGCTAGATGTTATATTATAGAAAAATAGCCAATAAGACGGTGGTTAAGAAGTGACAGCAACAAGCATGGACTACTTTTTGAATGTGTTTTACATGGTAAAGGAAGCATTAGTTTGTGTTTTAATACAAGTGACCTAAGCATATTCAGAGGTAGAAAGAAGAAATAAATAGAAAAAATGCAAAGAGAAAGAAGTGGGTGAAACCACAGAAAAAGGTGACCGCAAGAAAATTCCCAAGTGCCAAGGACTAGCAAGGCAGATAGACATTCTTGAAATGATCTACAGCTGTGTTGCCAAACTAGTGAGTGCTTAGGGAATGCAATCTTAGTTTGATAGTCACCTACACAAACCATACATTAGGAGATATCCTATATGTAAGAAAACTTCAATAACACATTATAATTTACTGTTGTGATTATATGTGGACTTCTCCAGTGGAATAATATTCAACATATTTATATTAAGAGAAAATTAATTTCATCAAAGTACATAATTATTAAGATTTAAGACTATTAGAGTTAGCAAGCAAACCAAATCCATATTGCTTTTTATTGGGAAAAATGATTTGGCAACTGGCCACTCCTTTTCTGTCTTTCTGTGAGATGGTAATACAAATGATTTGAAATCAGCTAAAAAATGAAAATTAAAAAAGGCACTTTGGTCAAGAGCGTAATTTGTCAACTGCAAAGACGGGACTTCATTTTAAATGTAAATCATCATAACATTCAATATAAAATTAGGAGCACTTATGTGCTCCTCACTGAGTGAATTAGCTCATTATAAAAAAATTAATTTTAATTAACTTCACAAGTTAGCTGCTACTCTTTATACTTTGGTGGAAAATACATACCAAAATATATTTTGTGAAGAGCTGAGATATGTTAAATGTTACTATAAACCCAGGATTATTCAGCAATTCATGGCTGACACAGAAACTCTTTTATAATGACTTAATTCAGAGAGCTAAGCAAAATTTCCAACACTAGCACTACTAACAATACATATTTCAAAATTAACGTAATTTAAAATACATACACTTACCTACAGAGTAAAATTCTAACTGATTGGCTCATAAAATAAATCTCACAAACTTAAAAACACTTTAGTCATTAAAAGTATATTCTCTCCAGCTGGGTGCAGAGGCTCATGCCTGTAATCTCAACACTTCAGGAGGCTGAGGTGGGAGGATCATTTGAGGCCAGGAGTTTGATACTAGCTGGGCCACACAGTAAGACCCTGTCTCTAAAGAAACTTTTGTAATTAGCTGGGCATGGTGGCATGTGCCTGGAATCCTTGCTACTGGGGGGGCTGAAGTGGGAAGATCACTTGAGCCAGGGAGGTTTAGACTGCAGTGAGGCATGATCGTGCCACTGCATTATAGCCTGGGCGACAGAGCGAGACCTTGTCTCCAAACAAACAAACAAACAAACATACAAAAAAACAGAAACGTATATTCTCTTACTGAAACGGAATACAAACTAGAACTGAATAAAAGCAAGCTCTCTGGAAAATCCCCTGATACTTGGAAACTTTTTAAGTCCACTTTCAAATAACTAATGGGGGTCAAAGAAAAGTCACAAAGGAAATCAGAAAACTGAATGAAAATTAAAACATAACACATCAAAATTTGTGACATACAGCTAAAACAGTACTCAGAGGGAAATGTGTAGCATACTTCAATGCACAGAAAATAAGTAAGGTTTCAAATCATAATCTAAGCATCAACATTAAAAAATTAGAAAAGGGGGCTGGGCATAGTGGCTCACGCCTGTAATCCCAGCACTTTGGGAAGCGGAGGCAGGCAGATCACAAGGTCAGGAGTTCGAGACCAGCCTGGCCAGCATGGTGAAACCCCGTCTCTACTAACAATACAAAAATTAGCCAGGTGCGTGCATGCACCTGCAGTCCCAGCTACTTGGGAGGCTGAGGAAGGAGAATCACTTGAATCTGGGAGGCGGAAGTTGCAGTGAGTCGAAATTGCTCCACTGCGCTCCAGCTTGGGCGACACAGTGAGACTCTGTCTCAAAAAAAAAAAAAAAAAAAAAAAAAAAGAAATTAGAAAAGGGAGAAAAGTCAGCACAAAGCAAACTAAAGGAAGCAAATAGTAAAGATAAGAGCAAAATCACTGAAACAAGAAAAAAAGCGGAGAAAAAAATCAATGAAAAATTATAGCTGATTCTACGAAAAGATCCATAAAGCTGATAAACATTCAGGCAGCCAGATTGAGAATATACAAATTACAAATATCAGGAATGAATGAGGAGCCATCACCAGAGATCCTACAAACACCAGAATAAAAAAGAAATATTATGAACAACATTATGACAATAAATTAAAAAAATGAATAATTTCCTTGAATGATTCAAATGACCAAAGCTCACATAAGAAATAAACTGAATATCTCTTTATCTATTAAATAAAGTGAATTCACAGTTTAAAACTTTCCCAAAAAGAAAATTCCCCACCCAGATGGTTTCACTGGTGAATTTTTTTTTTTTTTTTTTGAGATGGAGTCCCGCTCTGTCACGCAGTGGCGCAATCTTGGCTCACTGCAATCTCCACCTCCTGGGTTCAAATGATTCTCCTGCCTCAGCCTACCGAGTAGCTGGGACTATAGGACCACACCACCACACACAGCTAATTTTTGTATTTTTAGTAGAGATAGGGTTTCACCGTGTTGGCCAGGATGGTCTTGATCTCTTGACCCTGTGATCTACCCGCCCTCAGCCTCCCAAAGTGCTGGGATTACAGGTGTGAGCCAACACACC